ATCGCTATCAAAGGGGCTTCATGGTGTGCAAATTGGTTTACACGGTCGGTGTTTCGCTCTCGACGCACCGTTCGCGCATCCCCATAAAAAGAAAGCCACGCTCCGATTCCGGCCCGACCGGCACGCGTGCTGCTAATATCGCCGTTCGACGAAATTAAAAACCGGTGTCATCGATACGCGCGCTCATCCCTTCCGTTCGCCGCTCGATTTCTCGCCCCGCCGTCGCCGAGGAAGAAGAGTCTTCGCGATCTTTTCACCGGTGCTTTCGCTTCGAATAAAATCAGCCCGGGTCCGCGGTGACAAAAAGCGGAAACTAAAAGGAAGCGGAGAAGCAAGGGGACGTTTGCGCGATCGCGCCGGCGACGATTAACAAGGTGACAAAGCGCGTGGCGCGGCGCGACCCTCGATCAAACTCGTTTTCCAATTCGGCGTTCGTCTTCGCCTGTTACGCGTAGGCGGCGATCTCTCAGCGGGGACACGGAGACATTCGTCGATTATTGTGACTCACGATCGGCGTGCCGCCATTCCGTATAATACCGTGGAACGGAGAAACGGTCGCGTGCGCACGTATGCGATCGTATGCGATCGTATGCGATCGTATGCGTACGTATTCGGCCGCCTCATCATGGGAACAACAACAGGGGCACGGATCGCCGGAGAGCACAATGCGCCATAGAAGCTAGAAAATTTGCGATTTCGACGCGTGCACGACACGTGTCGGGCCGACCTCCGGCTAGATTAACGAACCTTTCTCTCTATCCGCGTTGCTTTCCTTCTTCTCCCCGCTTCGTTTTCCCCGACAGAAAATTTGCCGCGATCGTGTCGGATCGATCGCGTTCAAAGTACCGCTCCACCGCTTGGGTTACCGAGAAAATATTTGAAAAGGTGATACGAGTACGCCCCCGGTGTACTTCCGCGTACAAGTATCCGAGTTCCCTTTAACCAAACCGAGAGGTCTCGATATGTAATTTCGCGTCACCCTGTAGGTACGTGCATGTGTACACGCATGCACAGGTACGCTATACAACCACCGTAACAACTAAACACACGCGCTTTCCGTCTCGTCGCAAGGTCTTCTCGACACGTTTGATCAAAGCGACTCGCGTCGCTCGACCGGCTTTTCCGGTCGACAAGGGTTCGATGGAAAGGGTCCGAATCCGCTAATTTTATTACGATCTTACGGTGTCTTTCGGTCTCGCTCGGATCCTCCTTAACGAAGTCCAGCAGCCCTCCGTTTCGGTAACTCGGATTACGTGGTTGCCGGTGGATCGTCTGCGAATAAATCATGATTTTCGACGGAAATCGGAGAAATCGGTTCAATTTGAAAATTGTTCGTTCCAAACCATCCCCTACGCGACAACGACATCCCCTGTCGCGGCGCGGCGCGTTCGAGTATCTTACGGCCGTACGATATTCGGGGAGCTGCGCTCGTATACCTGCAGAGAGATCGGTCCGGCAGTTACTTCTATAAGGAATAACTTCGTTACTTCGAAGAGGAGAGAGGTCGCGCGCCGGCTCCGTTTAACCCTATTAACGGCGCGCGTACGCTGCGCTTATTTGCTGGATATTTGCTCGGCCGCGCCCCATCATCCGCTACCTTGCCACTCTCTCCCTAGATCCTCGTTCTCTCGATCCGAAGTGTACGCGTTAATTACTGTATTCACGTACAATCCGAAAGGGTTCCCGGTGCACGCTAACTTCTGAATAGTGGAGCTAATACACCGTCGTAATTCGTTTACAGGGGAAACAGCAAGTGCCGCGGACTATTCGCCGAAGAAAAGTCGACAAAGTTGCGCGACTGCGCTCTTTCCCCGCGAATTTCCCCGCGAATTTCCCCACGAATTTTCACTGATTAAAACCGTGCGACCAAGAGAGAGAAAAATTAACGGCCGGCGACAGCGTCGCGCCCGGGTACACGCGATGCCAAACAATTTTAGGGAATTGTTGCGCGTCCTACGTCCCTGTATTCGTTCGAAATCCTGTCGGGAATCTACGCTCGTGCTTTTTCTCGTACCTCGTTTCCGGCTCTTTCGGAGATCGATAACTTTCGGGCTTCGATCGATCCTTCTCGCGAGAAAAGCTTGCCACCAACCCGAGGAACCCCCTCGAGAGAAATTTTCAGCTCCTTTTATTATCGGCCTAAATTCAAATTTCTTTGGAAAGCACCTAACAATTTTTTTACAGCTGATGCTGTTTCAAAGATAAATACACAACTGGAGGAACACTCGATATACGCGCGCAACGGGTGGTTTCGGTTGTACGTCGACGGCGCGTACTCGATATTTATTAAGATCTCTGGAACGATTAGTTTTTGCACGAGCAGAAGTATTATTTTCGATTTACGAGTTCAAAAAGCGTCGATATTTGAAAGATCGTATCTCTGCGCGAACGCGACGATCGTAACGGGTATCCTATTAGCTTTATCCGTTTCCAGAGACTCGGCTCGGCTCTGAAAAGAAGCCGAGACACTGCCGCGTCCCATTAGCAGACATTTCGGTAGTTGATCGCAGGTTTGCTATTCATGCCGAGAATCGGGGAGGATTCTTTATTCTGGATTTTTCTTTTAGAATTCCCATTGACATCGCCCGGTTCAAAGCCAACAATGCCCCGGCGACGCAAGCAACTGCTCTCTAATGAGCGCGTGTCACCGACAGAAGTACACGGGGCATTATGCGCGCATGCCGATCATCGCGAAACCTAAACGCTGCGCACAGAATGCGTTTGCACGCGACGATATTGGAGCGCGGTGGTACGGTAATCCCTTTTTTCTGGCCAAAAGTTCATTTTCAACTAATAATATGGAAGACGGATTTCGGCGATGGTTGGACCGCGACGCGCGTCAGCAGTTGCATCGGCAAGTATTTCGTCTAATTTTAAGCATTTTCTAATCTATATACGTACACACAAGTAGTACCAAATTTGCAACAATTCGCGCTTCGAGTAGACTTGACAAGACCGTGGAAATTTCAACCGCAACCTCCCGCAATTCGCGATAAAACAACGAAACGGCGTTGCTTCGCTTTCTTTTTTCATTTCCGAGCAAAATATTCGTAACGCGCGCAGGTGCGCCTCGGTAAGCGTAACATATTCGATCGATGAACGCGTCGCATTCGTCATTAGTATGAATCACCGACAAACTTTCGAACGTAAAACTTGTGTGTTTCGGGAATTTGCCGGTCTGCGGCGGTTTAAATATGTACGCGCTTAAATTCGATCGACAACCGTGAAAGCCGGGATCTGTAATTCCAATGTTCGAGTTCCGAATTTGGGAATTCGCGATCCTTAAAAATTAACGAGCTTCGTTGCTTTCGGTGGCTTTGCCGAACTATACTATCTCGCAACGTTTCCTTTCCACTTTTGTGTACCAGGAAAGATTTTCGTTTAGGAAAAGATCGCGGATGCGACGCGATCTGCGCGATAGGTCCCGAAGTCGGTAGGAAACAGCTGACACTTTACGCTGCATAGCGCATAGCGCATGGTGCAGTCGGGGCGATACGCGCACGTGGGAATATCGGACAGAATTTGTCTTCGACGCGCCATTAGACCCACCGATTCGATTGTGCGACCGTTACCGTTGGTTCGAATTCTAAACGAATTTAGGGTAACCGGGGACGCCGCTGTAATTAACGCATCGATGTTCCCTCGAGGCTCCCAGCAAACAGCCAGTTGTAGTCCCGTGGGAACTATACTACGCGTCCAGGCACCGATCCCCGCGCAACGTGCAACCTCGAATGCAGGAAGTTTACAGTTTATTCTCGAAGGAAGACCGTTATCGTTTCAGAAGGGTCGTACAATTACAGAATTCTGTCGCTCTCCGTATCGGCCATTATCGGTTCGATCTCCCTTGCGCGACGTATTCGCTTTCCTTGTACAGGGTGCCCCCGTTCGTGCATGGGCGTTTTCGAGATTATTTTAAGGTCGTTTTGCTTTTTTTACGAGAAACCTATGTGTTTGGTAGTCGAATCGGCTATCTAAATCGAAAATGTATCCATGGACCGTGTACGAACGACAACCAGGGTCTATGGATCATAAAATGCTGACATTTGTTGTTGTTGCATTCGTATCGGAGGAAAAGACTCGTTTCGCCTCCTGGAAAATTCCTCGCGGAGAATAAACGTATCATTTCGCATACATTTCACGTACATTTAGCGGAAACACCCTGTACAACGTTGTTCGAAACTCGCGCTAAAAATCGTGTACGAACTTTCCTCGGTACGCGGTAAACGCAATTTGGCCGAAGTAAATAAACGCGTCTCGATCGAGTTCGTTTTTCGTCGGATGTCCCAGAAACGAGACGAGTTCTCAAGCATCTATTATGGCGAATCTATTTCTGTTGACGCCAGTGGTGTAGGAATGCGTCCCTTGGCACGGAACATACATGACCCTGACAAAGACCGCTCGATAAACACCGTAAACGAGATCAAAGATCCAATTATAGAATTCTTTTGTAAAATATTACCTCCGCCTTTCGTAGAGAATTTTTTTTCCGAATTTTTTGTCCGAACAAGTCCGAGAAAAATGTGACTTGCGCCGCTATGATTCTAACACGCTCGTTTGTACGGTCGAATCTTTAGTTTTTATATCGAATTTAGATGGTTTAACATTTCAAATTCGCGGCTTCGTTTTCGAGGAAACCGAATTTAAAAATTCGTCGCGTTCGAACGCTGTTTCGACCGAGCCACAGGTCGCGTCGGACGAACAACATGCTTTAACTTTACGCATATCAAATGTATTCCGAGTGCCGAGAAACGTGCGAAACATTTGATTTTACAGTGCACGAACGAGAACGATACGAGTCGAATCCGCGTTTCGACGATTTCAGCCCTGCGACAGCGCGACAGCCGGCGGCTCGAGTTTGGAAAAAGGTTCGGCGATTCGCGTGACCCTGAGAAACGAAAGAGAGCCCGATGCAACGCTGAATCAACGCGTAGTAGCTTGTAGAACTATTTCAAAGCATCGTGTGTCATTGCGTGCATGCAATATTTAGCCGTATCCCCTACCGTTGGATGCCGGCGTCGAGTGAGTCAGTGCGACGACGTCAACGACATCCACGACGACGCGACGGCACCGGCTACGTCTAGACACCATCGCCCACCGTCATCGTCACTGATTTGTTCACCGTACTTCTGTTCTCGCTACCCCCTGAAACGGGTGAAATCATTCTTAAAGCCGAACCGTAGCCGCGCGCGCGTACGCGACGCGCGGCCCTCTCTCTTTAATTCGTTTCCGTTAATTACGGTTGTCTCGGTATCCGGTGTCTCGGCGGTCCACGCGAACCTCCTTTCGACGTAAAAAATTTGAAAATCGAACTCGGACCGCGGAAAGCGGTCTTTTTCCGGACCGCTGCGCACGGCGTGACAAACGCTTCGAACGATCGGGCGGCGTTCGCGAAGTCATGGGTAGACGAATTTCGGTGTTTCTTGGAAGACCATGCGGACGAACGAGCCACGGTGTAACTATAGTAACACGATGGCTCAGGTGAATCATAGCCGGTATGCCATGCTATCGAAAGTTTCGCGTGGCACCCCACCGTTGAACGCGTCCGTTCCAACCGGGTGCGTAAAGACACGCGTATCTCGATAATTATTGCGGCGACGTATGCGCCCCGTCGTGCCAGGTATGCGATCGATCCCGATAAACAACGAACTCTCGAAATCCAAACAAGTTCGGCGATGGATCGCGCGTCTGCGCGGTGTTATTATAACCTGCTGTTGTTTCCTCGAATATCGCAAACTCGTACATTGAATTTCGTCGGGCGTAAGTACATGTGTAGGTGTGCTAGACTATCCAGTTCGATACACGGGTGAGTCATTTCACTCTTTCGCTTTAATTTTCCTTGCGTCCCGTAAACGAATGTTTCGAACGAAAGCTGTTCGATGGAAAAAACAAGAGCGTAGGAACCGTAAATCTAGAGTCGCCCGTCGCTTCGGTTTCAAAAACTAGCTGCTCAATCCGTTAACCGGGCACGAGGAAACCCGAAATTTGCGCAAACATCCGGAGAGACGCTAGAAACGCGCGGACATCCGGGCTCGTCGCGTTTGGAATACAATAGATAAAAGGAAGGGCGATACGCGCGTACGCGTTAACGCGCAAAGAATCGATAAGGGATGTTATAGAGGCACCGGCTCGTACCATGCCGAATAGAGATGCTGGGACACGGTAGCCTGCTGTATTTTAAACGGTAATTTTACGAGTCCTTGGTCACTGTAGTGATTTCATCCGTTGAACGGCGGAAGGGCGCTAACTACCCTTATATCTACTTGCGACAGAAGGGCGCGTGCTCTCCCCCGGTCCTAAACGCATCTTGAGCGCCTCAACAGGTCCATGAATAAGTTAGGGCTCGACGCCAAGTGTCGAAGACGTAATAGATTTTTCAGTCCCTGTGCACTCAAGGGGGACGAGGGTTCGGTTCTGGCTTTCCTTCAAAATCGAGTAAAGTATATAAGACCTAATTTCCTCTTTCGCGTCGAATCCTCCAGGAAAAAAGCTCTGTTTCATCTTCCACCGCCGCTGTCACCGCCTAATGGCTCTCGGGAACACCGATTTCTCGCGATCTCCTTCCCCTAATTTGCTCGAACGATAACAGGTAGCCGCGCGTCGAACGACCGTTTCGACGATACCCTTGAAACAGAAAAAGATTGATTTTATTCAAAAGTTCAGGCTAGAATACCCCCTTAAATAGAATACCCCCATTCGGTGCCGTCAGCTTCGCGGTGCAGCTAAATCAGGCGCGCGAAATCGGTAGATTCCGAGAAGCTCGGTTGCTCCGTGGACCGGTGACATAGGCCTCGCGAATAAATGCAACAGTCGACATATCTATGCACGGAGAACCAGATTACCGCATCTTCTCTCGTTCGATTCGACGCGACAGTGCCGTAACCGTTCAACGCGAATTCGGTTTTAATTATACCACCGCTACCGCGATGGAAAGACGAGAAAAGTGTATCGCTCGTTCAAAAAGTGACATAACCATCGCGATAACGACGCGCGCGCGCGCGCGCGCGGTAGAACGAATATATCCCACGATTTAATATCGAATTCGTCGGAAATTTGCCTCGCAATCTGTTTCGGAACGAAACATAGCAAGCCAGGCAGAAGACGCGGGGGCCGCAGGAAAAACCGTTTAAGAGCCACTTTCGATGCAAATTCATTGCAGCCATTTGCGTCGCTACCCAATACATTCCTCGTATCCAAGTTCGATCTTGGAACAGCGATCGATTTATTTTTCCAAAGTTGACGCGAAGCGGTTGTTATTTTTGCAACCGAACATCTCGAACGTTGAATTCGATCGACGATCGCGATGCAATTATCGTGCAACGACGCGTCGCTCTCGATCGTATCGTAAAGCGTCGTATTAAAACGATGAAAAAGCCCGTAGGCTGCTATCGAATAATGGAAACTCTCGAGCGAACGTAACGATTCTTTGGTCGATTGATTATTTTTGCTCCTCGCGGTATCGCGCCGATCCTGATCGAATCCGAAAATACGTCGCCGCGATGCACGAAATGTCACCAACGATAATCTTGTTTCCGATTGTGCCGGAACAAATCCAGGTACATCTCCTCGATAATTCATCGGTAACTACACTTACACGTGGCATCGTGACTGCGTTCTGTCCAGCTGTTTTCGTTATTTTTACATCGCGTAAATATAATTTCGACGGACGATTCCGAATCGATCGTTCGAGAGTTCACATTTCATCGATCTTTCGTTTCGACCCCTTAATTAATAAAATCTTACGGCTGCCTAGGCACGAGATACCGGGATCCGTATAAATCATAGTCCCGACATAAGTACACCATATGGCGAATGTTCAAAAGGTCTGGCTCTCGCATCGGAGCGATAGAACCGGCAAGGGCTGTTCGCACGATCGAGTGCGACGCTCGGATCTCTGGTCGAAATAAAAATGTCCCTCGTCGATCGCGATCTCGATAGTTGCAAAATAATAAACTTACTATTCGTCGTTTCGACGGGTCTGCTCGATCCGACGTTAAAGAAGAAATAAACAGAAAACTTTGTGTCAATACGCGAAGTTACGATTTCTGCCCCGAAATGCCACGCGCCCCTTCTTTTAAATAACTAAAACTGTTGTCCGAGGAAAGTTTCGCCAGATGTGTCATTATCGTTGGCGGAATTTTATAAAAGTTTTCATAGATTGCCCGAGACTGAAAAGACCGCGCGGGACATTTTATCCGGTGTCGGTTGAGGTTGAAGTTGAAGTTGAAGTTGAAGTTCAAGTTGAAGTAAGTTGAAATTGAAGTTGAAACAGCGCACGAGTACCGAGGAAAAGAATTCGAGCGCGCGATCGAACGAAACAAAGGTGCATTCGGAATGATTTAATCATCGACGACAAGAGGGAGACGATAGGAGAGGAGTACGAAAGACGGTCGAAGGCGAGAGGAAGTCACGAAATCGATTCGATGCCCGTAATACGCGTGCCGATTATCGATCGATACGATCGAGTACGTATTCAAAGACTTGCCGCTATCGAGCAACAACCAGAATTTGTAGCTTCGTTTCGGACGAGATAGACCCAATTTACGCGGAAGGGTTCAGGGAGAGCCGGGAGCAACGAGAAATATATTCGCGAAAATGTATCACCGTGTACGCGTTCGTTTAGCCGAAACCCCTATTCTCACCTGCCTTTCGCAGCGCAACCACCCCGAATCTTTTCGTGCCCCACCCGTGTTTCCCTCGACTATAACACGGCACTCCTATGAGCCGAGCCCCCCCGTTTCCCTTCTGTACGGACCGAAGCCAGGTGATGACTCACCCCATGAGTCCACCAAAGGGAACCCGTTACACCTTCTATAGGGTTTTTGCGCGAGTGTGCGGCGACTTTTTTCTCTTCGTCCAGCGATTCTTCAGAGGCATTCACGAACGCGCGCTCGTGCACGCGCGCGCCCCATAATTATGCGCGCGTCGGTAGACTGCGAATTGTTACGCGGATATGCATTTTTATAGAGCAGCTCCGAGGAATCCGAACCGGATAGAATGTTGCTTCGCGCGCGTCCATAGATTCGATACACGTATGTATGCACCTATCAAGGTACAATGTTCGGACACCGCAAAATTTTTACTCGGTCCTGTTACAATTCGCTTCGTAACGAGAAAAGACACATCGTTCTTCGATTCTCTCTTTATCTCGGCCCGTCGGGACAAAGAAACGCAAATAATAGGCAAGCCGTGGCTCGCATGTTTCTTAAGGCCACCGGGCTGCTCGAGCGCGAAGACAGTGAAACCTGTTTCTCGGTGGTCGCGTGCCCCGTCGTGTAGCACCTTGTACGTAACCAGGTTCTATTTACACGGCGAACCCTAGACCGAAGACTCGCCCCAAGGAAAAGGGACCCCGTAATCTTTGCTCCATTCAAGAGAGCGCACCCTTGCGCTCCGTCGAAAACAACTCGTCGAAAGGAATGCTTCCCCCGCGACGGAAGACACGAGTTTCGACGTGTATCGAGGATTCGTGCGACACCGATCTGTTGGAAAAAACGAGCAGCGCGAAGCTGGTTAATATATTTGTCGGAAACGCGTATCAAACATCGAATTAAACGATAGATTCTTGGTAATCGAGATAAAAGAGTGTCTCGAATAGGAAATGAAATTTCGCCAAATAAAATATTTTATTTCGATCGTTCGAAACAAATTGCAATTGTGTAAAAAATATAATTTACTTTTTTCGACTTTCTACTCTCGCTGTATTTGTCGTGGAAGCATCGGCCGCGACACCGACTCACCCTTCGAAGGAAATGAATGGAAAGACAAAAATCGAAAGGAAAGAAGAGAAGGCGCCGAAGAAGGCCTTTAAGTTACCCTACGTAAGTATTCGAGCGTATTCGCCTTACATTCGTACACGGGCGACTTTCTTACGTGAGCGCAAGTCATGAATGAAAAAGACGTAACACGACCGGATGTGAGAAACCGTACGCTCCCAACCTTCGTGTTATCGTCTATGTTTCTGCCAGGGTTGGGCATCGTTGAGAATTGCTAAAAATGATTCAAGGAAAATTAAAAACGAGCGTGCTCGGGTGCTCGGTCCTCTACGCAACGGTCGAGAGAATATCCGAAGAAGAGCGATCGATTAACTCTTAAAACGTACGATTTAATCGCTGAATAAAAAGGTACCGGCGTAAAGCGATCGCAATTCGCCGATTAAATTCATCGAGGAGTAATTGAAACACGCGCTGTTCCGATTCATGCCGATCGTACTAAACAATCTAGGTCGCGTCATGCCGACAGTTGTCCAAAAGCAACGCATCTGCTGGACGCGTGCTCTCGAATAGATTTGCCCAGGTGTACAAACGATCCCATCAGATTTGTCTCCATATCGGTTCATTAAATCGATCCCATTAACCGGTTGGTTCGTCTTTCTCGATTACTCGCGAAGAAATATTCGACGCGATTTCAAATCTAAATTTATCTCATTTTAAACAATCAATCATCGTTGTAAACATTTTGGATAACGGACGAAAACACCCGAAGCAGAATCATCCTAATCCGTGTCTTCGCGAGAAGGTACAGGGTGCGAAGAAAGATCGTTGCGATCGATCGTTACGATATCCGAAGAATAGGCGAGGAAACTGAAACTGCTGTTGCGTGTTTCGCAGGAAACGAGAATAAGCAATAGAAAAAGTAACGAGCGGGACCCTTTTATTGAAACGTTGCATGCGAAACCGCCGATCGCAGGTGTATTCCTCCGTTTTCCGGTAGCGACGTTATCGTATTACATATAATACGCGCCGGTAGACGTTGAGTATGAAATTCTTTCGTCTCGTGCAGCGTTAAAGACGGAAAGAAGGTGAGCAAAAAAGTGGACCTCTGTGTACTTTACGAGGCCTTGGCAACGGCTAACTCCGATCGTTCCTACATCGACGAATCGTTAACGTTTCGTTTCTCCCAAGTTTGTCGCCGGAGCCAAGGATTCCGTTTACGCGCGCGTATGCAACCGAATACATTCGGTTAAAAACAAAGAAAGGTTTCGGATCGGCGTCGGCAGATGATCGTTCGCGGGCATGGTTAAACAGCGAGGAAAAAACGGAAGAGAGAAGAAAACTGTAAATAGACCGAGGCAACGTTGAAGCGATGTACCAGTTCTCGGAAAGGCGATACTGGATAAACGATATTTCGGCAAGTATTTGTCTTCCCTCGCGGATACGGTAGCAGGGATTGGAGCACCGCGTCGCCCCTGTATCGGCAGGGACCGGTAAAGGGGAACGACGAGGGATCGAGAAGCAGGACGACGAGGGAATTGAAGGGAAGAGAAGGGCAGGCGGCGGCGCAGCTGCCCGAACTCGATGTCACAGCTTTCCGACTTACAATGCGAGCCGCCACAATGCATGATTTTCGGCATTGTTTGCATCCTAAGGCTGCACGCGCACGGCCACCACCAATGGATGCATTCCTGCAGCCCCGCGTGTCCCGAGTCCAGAGTCCGGAGTCCGGAGTCCCGGATCCCGAGTGGCGCGTGGCGTGTGCCACCACTCCAGAAGGAGAGATCGACACGAGCCAATTCGTTTCCTCGGTCTAGCAACCACCTCTCTCACCCTTTGCGCCGATTTCAATGTCGCTGCTAAAACCCTATAAAAGGGAAGGGATTCCCGTATGTCTGGGACTCTCTTCCGACCCTCCGACCGCACCCCTCGCTTTTCAATTTTCCCCATTTTTTTTCTTTTTCGAAGGTGTCCTTGGTAATGAACCTTCGCCTGTGGCCGAGTTTTTCAAGCTCTTGTAATTGGGCAGCGAATTTTCAGTATTTGTAGCGTGCTCGCGAACGTGCGAATTAACGCGAATAAGAGAATAACCCTTGAACACGGGTAAGCCCGTAAAAGGAACAAATGCGATAAGGAATAATATGGGCATAATAGAATAATGGATAATAGATAACACGGAGAGCGTCGATATCGATTACGAGACGCGATCGTTACTCTCGAGATACCGAGATCGAGACTTGTTCGTTGAGAATATGTTCTGAAAAATTGACGAATAAAGCTGAGAATTATTAGAATCGTACGGTACACGTTAAACGCGTGTGCAGCGAATCTGGACGCATTCGTGCTATAGTTTGCAACGGTTGAGAAACACGTTTTCGATCGTATCGTTCGACGTAAAAGGGCAACTTCGATGAGATTTAATCCAAAGTTCAGGGTTTCTCGTACCGCTTCGGTTCTCCCGATCGATTTTTGTGCATTCCTACTCCGGTATTAAAAGCAACGAAAAATGTAGGCGGCGTTACGGTTACGCGCCGCACCGTGGTCGACAATTTCGCCGTGGTCGTCGCAAAACGAATTCGGTTATAAATCGAATAATACGAAACGCGCGAATGCCTCGAGATCCGAAGGCCATCGATCGCCTTGGCGCGAATCATAAAGCGTGCAGTTAATTGACTCGTACGCGTAGCTATTACCGGTTATCATCCGAAGAACACGTTTTACGAGCGCGAAACGACGAGCCTCGTCCTTCCCTAAATTAACCACCTGTTTGGTGTTTCTGGCGCGGCCGTGGCTCGATCGCGGTGATCGAAAACGGTCGAGCTCGTGTTCAGGCTTATGCTCGTGCCCGTGCCCGTGCGTGCCGCGGATGGGACTCGAGCACCACCGATAATCGGACCGAGATACATTTATCTGCATACTAAATACGTATCCAATCAATTAATAGCTAAGCATCGTAATGCCGCACGCGTTTGCACACGCTAACAATAAGCCATATGGGCTACGATGGGACGAGGCGAACGCTCTCTCCTCCTTCTCTCTCGCGCGCTCACCCTATCCGCGCGTCTCTATCCATCCATCTATCCGTCTCTTTCTCCCTTTTATTCGAACAAACACACATTTTCTAATTAACAGAAGTAGGATTTGATGGAGATCGAGATAGGGAAATTACGCCCCGTGTGTCTTATTTACCAGAACCGAACGCGTTTCGTTAGCCAGAAGGTCTCAGCGTCCTCCGCTGTATTCGCTGTAATATTTGTTTTCCCGCGTAATTCTATCGTCGAGAAAGAAACGAAAAGACTTTGCAGCCGCTACGATACGCGCGATGAAAACTCCACGCACGCTTCGAGCGTGGATAGAAACGAAGTTTGCCCAGCTCGTTGTCAACTTGTACTCTAATCTCAGAAATATCACAATATCCGAATATATCGTTCCGTGACAATATTTGCAAATAAGACGTCCGACCGGGTCTGAAACAAGGCGCGCGTTGCACACGCGGAAACCTGGATATTGGCCGATTCGCAACATTACGCGGCGGTAATAAATCGAGATTCCCGTCCAGCGTTCGTAATGTATTTACATAGATCGAGAATAATCTTTACTAGTCCGTCAATATTTACTCCCGCGTTGGGGCTCGCTGCGGATCGAATATATTATCGAAGGGAAATGTTTAATGCCCATTCACGGCAGTCCATCAATATAATTGCACAGTGCCGGTGCAATTAGCCAAAGTTGTTTAAGGACTTTTTCGATCGACGAAGCAAAGACTGGTCGCTCTGTTCTTGTCGTCGCTGCATACGCGTACCGAAAAATTTCTACGATATTGCAGCGAGATCGCACTTTTTTCCAACACAATTTCGAACAACGAACGCCTGGTAGACGCGTCTCGAAGTTAACGATAAATTGTCTTTCGAACTCGACGACGAATCAAAAGATGATAAATTGATACAGACCGTAATAGGTAAAAAGGTGCATCGACCCCCGGATCGATGCAATTATCTCCGTGGAAGAAACTGCCGGCCGAAACGCTCCGGGTGCAAGCACCGGCTTCCGTTCGGGAGCAAGTGCAAAGATCGGTGCGCTCGATCGTCTTTGTGTTTGCTTTCCATGGTTTCTTTGTGCCCCCTCTAAGAAACGAGCATTGTTCGGTGGCACGCGTCCAAAGATACATCTTGGTGAATGGAGCTTGCCCCTTGCTACGAGCGCACCTTAACCGAACCTACGACCCAGCCGCGACATCGATGCAACCTGCTTCCTTCTGACGTTTTCACGATGACGTCACGGGTCTTACGAACGCACGCGTCTTCGAGGCTCCGAGCTAAAGGTGCATGGCGTGACGTCTTCGGTAACGCCATTGGCGTAACAGCATACCCGGATGGAGCAAGGTCCCACGGTGGTCGAAAATTCTGAAAACGTGGCAAAGATTTATTCGGAATTCGATGGATCTCGAAGATTCTTAATCGCAAGTAAAACGAATAATAAAATTAACGCTCGAACGTGAATTTGTAAAATGTTTTCTGTTTAAAACAAGGTACCGCGTCGCATCGACCATATTTTTGTAGAACAACCTAATTGTAGACGATGCTACCGATTCTCGAACAACGATCCTCTGACATCTATCCGAACGTAAATATAAGTGAATCGATAAATATCTCATGGGGGACGATCGTCGGGCTCGTACGAACCAATTAAACCATTGAATCGGGAGACGACACCCGAGCATTTCCTCGATTCCGGTTTTCCCGAAATAATCGACGATCGGCTGGGTAGCTATTTGAGGAGAATTCGGGTGCCGGTCGAGAATTTCCGAATCGAAAACTATAATACCCAAGCCTATGGTCGCACCCCCCTCTAATCGCGGTGCCAAGCACGCTACGAAGCCACGGTGGTCTTTCCACTAGGCTTTTTGTGCCGGTGCATTGTCGGAATCAAGCTGCAGCTGCCCATGGAAGAACCCCCATACGCGCCCCCATAAGAGAGCCACGTCATACCACCTGGCCTTATCTGCATGTGTGTACTCGAGAGGGGGTCGTGCACCCTCCCAACTTTAGGTACACACCGGGCTTGGGACGCTTGCGGCGGACTGCCGTGACGCCGCTCCGCGCCGCATCGCACACACGCACACGCGCGCGTGTCTTCTCCGATCAGGACTCGGTCTCCGTACTCTATACATGTACGTCTGCGCTATGGTACGCTATGATACACTGGGCTACAGGACACAGGGTACAGGGTACAGGGTACAGGGTGCAGGGTACACGCTGCACGATACACCATATATGTATGCAGTCCGTATATCGTCCTTTTTCTATCGCTGCTCTCTCTGCTCGTGCACGCGCGCCATGGATGTGGCGGCACGTGTGCATTTTCACACACGACAGCGTCCGGCGTACGCGAGCGTAACGAGCACGCGCCGCCACCCGGGCACGAGACAGCGAATGCACCGAATGCACCGAATCGTTCGGGAAGGATTTGTTTTGGCACACCAAGGCGTAAACAGCCGGGCTCCCTGATTTTTCCGCTCGATCATCGGGGTCGTTAAGGGCTCCTACTTCTCTTCGGGCAATGATTTATTTATGGTTTATCTCGATGCTTGCACCGCCGCTCAAAAGTATCTGGAAGCTTGCCAATTTTATAGAAAATACAAAATATAACGTGCGTTATCATCTTTGATCGAATATTGCTAAATTTTATCGCGAACGCGTGTACGCCCAATGTACTTGCGGTCGACGCGTTAACGCGTAAGTCGTGAAGTAATCGCGTTTTTTTTTTTTTTAATTAACGCAGTTGATGTATAAATAAGCGCTCGAAATAAACGATATATACCGTACATTTAGAGTAGCGCATTTTTTGGTCAGCTTTCCAGGGTTAATGCTTCGTTGGACGACGGCTGTTTCGCGCGAATCGAACCAGCAGAAAAATCGGAACCGTTTGAATAGATAGATTACGATTTGCTTCGAATTCGATTGACATAGAAAATGCGATAACTACGATACAAACCGCTACGAATCTATGCCGTTGTTCCGAGCGCACGAAAGACCGTATCTTATCTACTGGCACGCGACCACCCTCTGTAATTCAAGATTCGGCAAACGATCGCATTCGGTGTCCCGATAATTGTATTTGATCGAACCCGATGGAAAAAAAAACGACCGATTACGCGTAACTTTTAGTTTAACCAACCATAAACGAAGCTCGCGTCTACGGCGCGGTCGCAGCACGCGAGGAAATTCGATTGATCGCGAGCTTTACGTAACGAGACCGTGTGAAATTTTAACGCTTACTTACGGGCGACTGCTGCTCGCTGCATTTTGCGAATCAGATATCTTTCGAGATCGTTGCATGAGAGAATGTTTCAAACTTCTTCGAAAAGTTTCTGCGGTTGCGAGAATCGAAGCTATGAAAGCTAAATAACAAGGAATTGAATGAACGAATCGAATTTTATCAGCTATTCGAATATAAAAGTATTGGAAAAATGTCTCACCCCGCGCGATAGGTCTCCGTGTTCCGATTCTGTGCAGTAATCACGAATCGCTTCGTCTCCCCAAGGAGACACCCATTTCCAGCCGAGCATTCGATGGCACTGTGTCAACCTACGGATGGTTCAATTCGTAAGGGAGACTGCTTTCCGTGTGGTTTCTTCCCCATCCGTAATTGCTGTTTTGTTCCTGTGGTAATCGCGTTACGCGGTATTATTTCTTCTTTCTAATAAATTTGCTGCAAGAATTCGATCGATGTTAAATATTGAATGTAAATATTAATTTTTCAATTAAATCATTAAAATTGTTTTTCGCAGCGAAAACTCCCGAAGTTCGCGAACAGGGAACGGTAATTGGCTCCTCTGCCCTACCAAGATTTCGAGCCTAACTTCAAAGCGCCGGAACCTGATTTTTGAAATCTAATCGTATTCGATGCAACGATGTTACCCCTTGTTTCTACGTACATCCCTCTCGCATCGTCCTACGCGACGCTTAGATTTCCGTTGGCATAAAAATCTTCCGTTTTACTCGAACAAAGCGAAGCAGCTGCCGTTGTAATTTCGCCACCGTCTCTAAAGCGTTTCTTCGCGAGAAAGTATAACACGAAAGACGGCGAACGATGGTCGCTAAGAGATAGGTTTGGAATATAAGAAGGATGTGGTGCAACTTCCTGTCCAATGTTCTTCGTCGTTTAATGGGTAAAAGAAGCGACGCGAGGCCTCGGGTCGAAGTAGCATCTTTGTCGCGAATACGGCATAACGGGAAACGTAATCGTTGGCTGTATTTTCGAGAAATCGTTGCCGGCTCGAACGCGCGTCGTTCGACAATTTTTTAAAGCGCGTATTCCGTGTTTCAAGAAATTTGAATTTTTGGATTGTACAAAGGCCGCGATTAAATGATCTTTGCGAAAATGATGTTCGCAGTCACGCGCAGAACGTAGAACAGTGGAATCGAGTCACCGAAAATCACTGGAAAGGAAAGCCTCTGGGTGCGGAGCGCATCCACTTACAGGCATGCGCGCATCTGTCCACCAGCATCCCTCGGTAAATACGCGATAGGACTCTTATGGGCACGTACGACGGGAACGCTAAAGTCCCATTATTGAAAACAGATTGGCCACATGTCTAGCGTGTACGTTCGCGAGCACCGTCGACGACGAAAGAAGAGAGAGGGTCGGGCTACGGAAAAATTTAACGTTAAAAATTAATGACGTCGCGATCGCGGACGAAGCGGCTGCGAGAGAAAAATGGTCGAATTCCCGGTGATTTTTCGACGTCGGGGGCCCGAAAGAACGGTAAAATGTATCGATAAGATGCATAAACGTGAGAAAGGATTTAGCGTGTCGAACAAATGCTAACGAAGCGTCGGAAAGTTCGCATCGAGATGCAATATCGTTGCGATACGAGGATGGTACGAACCAACGACACCTTCGGGACACCCCAGCCAACTCGTTGTTCCGCTATAAATGTCATAGATGTATCCGAACAATTTGAAATAGCCCGCAGAACGTTTCTCGCAGCGGGAATCCCCGAACCACGATCGTCGCGTCGACCGCTCTTTTCGAAGAGTGCATTCGGTCGGACCGCGTGCTGCGCTGGCCGCGATAAAAACGTAGCTGAAAATATGCGCATACATCGGACCATACGGGCGTCGATATCTAAGACGCTTTCGAGATGACACGAATTTTCTGGAGATTCGCGAGCGTCTAGATCGCCAATCGAATGATCGCGCGAGTATACGGGCACGATTTCGATGCTGCCAACCGTAAGCCGTTTTCGAGAACGTCTTTTCAATTTCTGAAACTGCAACGGATCTTCGCCTCGCTCCAGTACCAGCATTATTTCGAAATAAATTGCTCGGAAGGGCCGGGTCGTTGTACCGGCGGTAGAGCGGCAATTATCCGAATCTCGATTATGCGAACCGTCGATTGTCCGAAGCCCTTCGTCGTTCGAATAAAAAAGGAAAAATTACTTCGAAAGACGAGTAGTTTCGTCGACGTCGACCGTATACACGTATAATTGCTCCGTGTCGAATATCGTACAGTGGATTGTAACGATCGATCGTCGATCGAGGACAAACTAGTCGTCGATATCGCGAAAGGAAACTAAAATTGGACGAGTTGATTGCGTTCGAAGCGGCTGTATTCGTCGGAACAGCGAACATTTCGATAACGAGAAGAGAACTGCGAAGAATGTCGCGAAGTTAATATCTCGTAATTACGTCACAAAGAGCAAAACTGTCGAGTGTCGAGGATGTTGGAAAATAACTGGTTATTAGCATCAAGCTATTTCGATGCAAGTATTAAAAATTACCTCTCGTCTCCTCCTCCTCCTCCTCCTCCTCCTCCTCGCCCTCACCCTTTCTTCGTCGTTCTCTTCATATTCTCTCGTTCCTTCTTCCAAAATTGAAAGTTACCAGGACGACAGCCTTCTCATAAAATCTTAAAGTGCTTCCAGTAGAATATTACCAACCGTTCGTTCTTTCGTTTATTCGTTCGTTCGTTCGTTCGTTCGTTCGTTCGAGGAAAAGTCGATGGAACCTCACATCCGGTATGCTACTTTCGATGTGATCTTCGTCTTAATTTGTAACGAGATAAGTGGCAGGCACGTCGACCTAATTGCAATTAAAATTCCAGCCGAAATGAACTTTTAATGGCGAATTATTATTATGCCGGGGTTGGCTACCTGACTCGCGATCAATCGATCTCCTTCCCTTCGTCTAGCACGTGATACCGTAACAATTTCTTCACGGTCTCGACCCTCTTCCGAATCAGAAATTACTTTTCTTTCTACGCAAATAATTGCTGTTCGTCCGTCGATCGCTGTATCGTTCTTCCGAAACATCTCTTCTCGAAACGCTCTCGTTCATAAGCAGAAACCGACGCACGATCGAGGTACGGCCACTGAAAAATGTGAAAAGAATACGTATAAATCAGCCGAAATCTGTGCAAGACCCATCTTTTAAATCTTCAAATCGTTTAATACGGTGGTAAAAAAGTTATTTCGTTTCAAAGCGTGTGCGAACACTTTTTACCAGGAGCGGTATAATCGTTTTCGGCGAGGGAAATTCTGTTTGGGTCGCTTACATTAGTTATCGATGACGGAAACTTTATCTCGGTCACCGATAACATTTCATCGACGAACAAAATGTATTTTAATCGTTCCATCGATGTTTCCGATAAAAGAAATTCGATATTATAATACGGTATCGAATTGTTTCACGTTCGACGGAAAAACGACTTCCAGTATCGTGTACAACGATATTACGTTAACGCGTACACGCCGATACGCGCTAACACGATTAGGGTTGCGGGATTGGAACGATCTGCAACGAGCGCGCTCTTTTCTCCGCGATACCGAACCTTGTTAAATTGCCGATGAAATTATAAAAATGCAAAATAAAAGATCTCGCGCAACTCGTGTTCGGACACGCATCGCGTACAACTATTATTTACAAGTATCCGTAAGAGAGCTAAAATATTCGCGACAGAGACGTCGATGCTTCGCGCGTACCGACGCGATAGACGAAACAATTTGGAAGGGAGGGAACCGACGACGCGCGGTAAAAGAGAAGATGTAGGAAAGGAAAAAAGATAAATGTAATATTTAATATCCAGATCCTAATTATGAACTGCGAGGTATTAAGCGAAGCCCTTGATGCCCCCCGGTAGTAATGGCACTTGTACGGTGTCCTATAGTGGATTACTTTACCATAGTACCTATACGCCGATATACGGAGCAGCTGCCCGGAAGAGCGACCGCGACACTTCCTTCCTGGACGCCTCCTGTCCAACTATATACTTTCTACGGTGTCCCTGCCCCATGCTCTGGAACCCGCACGAATGCTGCGAACGATATTCGTCACCGATATTCTTCTCGAGCACTGTCTCGGTCTGCAACAGTTATCGTGAAATTAGTTATCGCGTTACACATATAAAACGTAATCGACCGGTAAAGGACGCCGAAGCGCTTGCTAACAAAATTTTCGATAGGACCCGCTCAGGGAGCAAGTTCCCATCGTCGCGACAATGAAAACCATGAACTCATCCATTTGTCCCACCTGTGCAAGGAAATTACACCCCCTCGCGTTAAACCGTCGATCGCGTACCATCGTCGTCCCCTTTTCGAACAAGCAGCACCGTGGGAAGAGAGCTCGTTCCCTCGTCGAACGTTTTCCCAAACCTCGAGGATCTCGCTCCTGAAAACATGGGAATTTGAAAACATGTCGTAACCGTCGTAGCATTGGAAAATTATATCTATTACATGTATTTTTTGATCGGGCCAGGTACACTGTACGCGCGTACGTATACCAAAGTAAGCCGATCGATAAAACGTGTAGCATACTCGACGAGACGGACCGCATCCTGGCACGTGCCAACGAGGATCCTTTTACGTGCTTCTTCCTTGCCCGCCACGTTATTCGTAACACGCTCCGGTGCACTCGAGACACAAGAATCTCCCCAGGTGGATCCGCTTAATTCTATAATATAATATAATATAATATTAGCTGGTATATCGCGTGCGTCTTAACGCTATAAAGTTTCCCGAAAACCATCGCGCCTCGATAGGCATTCCGCGCGTGCCGATACTCGTACGACCTTAGGACACGTTACGAAAGGAAAGAAGGAAGGAAGGAACGGGGGTTGGGGATTTCTGTTTTCCCTGTGTCGCGGTGAAAAGAATATCGGTGGGGGACAGGGCCCTAGACACGGCTACTCGAGCAAAGGGTTCGCGTTTACGATACAATTACCGATGCGACCGAATCCTCGACATAGATTATCGGAAGATTACCGGCTATAATTATACATATACTTTTGCGGTTTTACTCGGTTTTCGCTATTTCGCTAGCATTTTTGGTTCGGGTAACCGGTGTCCAGTGATTCGAACATTCGTAAGACGTTCGAACAAATAAATAATTCTATGGCGCGAGAGAGTCGAGGGGCGACGAGTCGATTTCCTAATTTGTAAAGCTTGTATTGTACCGCTTCGTCGCTGATAGCGTTGCAACGGATGCGACGTTAAAAGTGAAATACATAAATAACGATGAAACATCGTGTACCTAAACGATTCCATACTTTCCGACGGTTACACTATGTAAGTGCTTGGAATATTATCCCGAGCGACAATCCAGTAGATTAGTTCTTAATGCAGCTCCCTCGCGGCAACGCAGAACCGCCGCGCAATTAAACGAGTCTCGGATGAAAATTACCAGCGTGACCACCACTCGATAGAGATCTTATTACGTATACTTGCCGGTATACTGTCGTCTAACACGAAGGCTTTCCACGATGATTGTTTCGTCGGAACTGGCACAGACTCGTTCCATATTAATCCGCGGTCTCGATCGAAAATTAGGAATCTCGTGGAAGATCCGCGTTGCTCGTTGGCGTTATCGCCGAGGCGATACGTTCTCCCGATGGAAACGTTCATCTCCGACGATAAAATTTCAATGCTCGGACTTTATTGTCCATTGAAAGAACGCGATTTCATGGAAATAGAACCGCGGTACGTATATCCTGATCGCAATAAACGGCGCGGCGCCCAGACACCGGCACTGCGTGCTCGAGACAAAACCGACCGCTAATAAGTGTTCTACAAAGTGTTTTCGTAGCTCCGACACGCGGTCGCATGTTCCATTATCATTTCGATCTCTTTAATCGTTCACGTGCTCGCCATTACCGTCGATAACTTTTCTCCAACGTCGCGCAGCGGAGTATTTGGCCTAAAATAACCGACCGAAAGACGATTTATAAAATCTTGCGCAAAATAGAACATTTCCTCGGATTCGGATCCAACGGATCCAAACCTCTGAATAAAGCCTGTTCCGCCGGTGAAATTTTTGAAACTTAGATTCGGAAGGTCGCGTTCGCTCGAATTTCGCTCGCTGCTTTCGCCCGAGCAATTATTTATCGTTGCTTTCGATAAAAAAAAACTACTCGAGCCTGCTACGCGCCAGAACGTACGACCCATAAAAGACGAAGAGGGCAGCCGAGCTCTATCGTTTATGCACCCTACATCCGCGTAACTGTGCGCAACAATGAATTGCAACGCACCGGAGTGGACGCGACGCCGATGGCTTCCGATCGGATATTCGCGCGTAAACTACAACCATAGTATCGGCGTTTCGACAAAATCTCGATCTATTTCGTTGGGCGTCGCTTTATCGGAACACGCGAAACGATTCGTCGAGCCAACGAGGAAAGATCGTCGACGGGAAGTTGTACGGGGCGAGTCTCGTACAGCTTGCGCGCCTCGATAACTTCTTTTCTTACATTTGTTATTTACAAAGCTTTACCGCGCCCCGTGTAATAGAATGATCGTCGTATCGTAAGAATCGGTCCTACGCCAAGAAAAATCGAGAAACATTTCCGAGATGCAACTTTGTAAACGACAACGATGACTCCACTCGCACAGGGCGACAAACTGTATCGCGAATCATCGTTCCACCTTCGGTACAAAATTGATCTAGCAGCCGACGATCGTATACGAGGATCGTGCATGCGAGCCGACCGTGTCTCGGCAGCGACAAATTATGTTTATGCGCGCGTGTAGATCGTAGAAAGGGTAGCGAGGGTGTGTTCGCGGCGAATAAACGAGTACCAGAAAATTGCAGCTTCCGATAGGGGCCAGCTACGTACGAGCCTACCGGTCCTCCTATCGAAAGATCGGAAGGTACTTCCAAAGTTTCGCGCGGCGATTACAAATTACAAGATTTCAGTTTCGCACGCCATCGTTCCGGCCGCTGTTGCTCGCTTTTGTGTCGAAAATATTTCTCGAAACGAGGCAAACTTTTGCCTCCGAAGACAACGATGGTTGTCGCATCGACCTAACGCAATTTTTCGGAGCGTATTCGCATCGTTTCGTTCCGGTAACGGTATTCGACCCCTTCGGAAGCTCGCCGATGCGAATAGAACGGCACCTAATTTTCGCGTGATCTTCGATACGCGAACGCTTCCTCCGTCGAATCGTTCGAGTTAAAAGAAACTTTGAACATTATTTGCACGCAAGAATCCGATGATCTCGCAGAAAACCGGCGAGTTCGCGGAGTAAAAGGAATTCCGATAAGGTTTTATTAAGAATAAAATTCGAACGCGCGCTTCCACGGTCTCGTTTTCCCTTGAAATTCTCGTTCGCCGATTTTCATCGGGATCGTATTGTTAGTCACCGTTTTTACAAGGCGCACGAAACAAAGTTACCCCGCGATGGCTTTCCTCGCCCATACGACGTTAATTACGTTTTTTTTTTATATCAACTACAGCTACAATTTTAGAAGAAAAAGTAGGTAAAACTTCTAAGAAAAGTGGTTTACACGTGTGCGTCGCTCGATCGAGAATGGAAAACTTGCAGCCTCGGTTTCGTTTAATTAACTCGGTAATCGGGGCCTAGGATCGCCTTGTAAAAATTTCTCTCGAACCTTGTGGAACTTCGTAGCAGTTTTATGCCTTGGTCGATCGCATGCTCGGCTCGGCTCGGCTCGGCTCGAGACCAACGGTTTTACGGTACTTTATACTTGGCGCGAAGTTATCGTTAATTGCTTATAATAATGCAACGCTCGACGAGCTTTCGATGAAACCCGTACAAACGCGTTGCACCGAGGATTCTTGGCCCGTTTCGATCTTTTTCCACAGGCTTCGGCCGACGAGACGGTCAACCGGTACGATGCGCGGCATGGAAACTTTTTGTCGATGAAAATCAGGCTCCGGGCGTTATCGGAACAAACTTTTCCTATTTGCTCGGGCCTTCCATCCTACGAGGAAAGTATACGCTATCGAGACGAACGTTTTTTCATTATGAAAAACCGAACGCGGTTACGGTACACTCTCGGGTACGGAAAGAACGTCATATGGCACAGGGGGGGGGGGGTGCGAACGTCGCGAATACTTCGCTCTTGTTCCTGTTCGAGCACGCAAGAGTAAACGATGCCATTGAATTTTATTAAATATCGCCGTATATAGGGGAACGTTCGTTTCAAACGTTTCTTTACAAATGAATTGTACAGCGTCGCCGATTCAGCCCCGACTACCCTATCATTATTATTACACTTAATAAGCAGACCCTGGACGCGCGTAGAATTTCTACGCGGCGCGGCGTTGCGTTCTTATTTCGAATCATTGATCACGAGCTACCAGACCTCGGCGTTTCCACAAATTTCGAAATAATCAATTTACAGAATCGAACACTTTATATTGTAACGGGTTTCGTGCGAAATTTACATTCGTTCGTTTCCAATTAAATGATTATTTGATATTTCGCGAAACAAGTTATTTATTATTTGCTCGATTCTTCATTCATTATTTGATTTCGATAGAAGCAAAACCGGTGCATCGCTTGCCAAATATACTGCTTAGCATTATTCGAAATACTTATTTGTAAAATATTATTCGAAATCTCCACCTAGATTCGGAAGGTTTACCGATAGAAATATTCTATCGAATCCGACGATCGATGCACGCGCGTGTTCCGTTAAGAAAACAAAATAACGAGTCTAGACGAAATACCTCGAAGAATACGTTCAGTTCGATAAATAAAATTGTAAATCATCCCGAGCGCGCCAAGCTATATCTTTGTGGAAAAGGTGCGCGGTTCGATAGTATTTGCGGTAGGTATAGCGATCCTGCACTAAATTGACTCTAAACAAAGGAGATGAGAAAAGAATCGGCGAGAGTTCGAAAGGGCCCACCTGTTGCAGTCGCCACTCTACGACTCGTCGGCCATGATCGGACCAATGCAACAACGTGTTCGAGATTTACAAATTTGTAGTAAAATCGTCTTCCGTTCGTCTCGTTCGTAAGCTAAAATATATAATTCGATCCTTCCTTTTAACGTACCGTAGAGGACGGATTCGAGAAAATATATGTGCAACACAAATTATAACTAACTTCGAGACACCGAATGGATCCTAAGATCGTAAGATTGTACCGTCGCGTCGCCTGGCCTACACTCGTTAGCGTCGGTTCCTTTCCGAATATCGGACGACATGCGAAAAGAATGAAAAGCCGGGACACGCCGTGCGTCGTCCCACGATAGATAACAATACAAGCTCGAGATGCAGGCAATTTACATGCGTGCGACCATGGGAGCTGAATATAAATGCCAACAATAGCGATCGCGATACGATAGAGCCACTCGTCGAACAAAAAAGACACTTCGGTAAAGTGTGAACGTTTGTGCTCTCCGTACTGACCATAGCCACCACCTGTTCGTGGGAAATATTACTGTACACCGCCGGCACGGGAATCCGGTGCTTAACGGTTGCCGATACAACAATGAAAAACGCACGCTTCGCCAAAAGGGTACGTTCGACCAAATCGCCCCGAGAACTGTGCGATATTACGAAGAGCGTTGTTCCGGTGCTTTTTCCGAAGAGCAAATATTACGGCGATCCGTTTTTTAAGCACAGGTCAGGATGAAAATGTCTTTGCTCTCGACCCCGTCGTCCCGTGATCCGTCCAAACGAAAGGAAGGGTTTATAGATAGAAGGGACCGGATCGGATAATGTCGCATCGATAATACTTATTCCATTTGCTGGCGCGACTAGAGATTCTGTATACGCGGTCGACACCCTTTCGAGCCGGCTGTTTCCCCGTAGCGCGAGAAAGAGAAGGCAACGAGGCAAACGAGAGGGAAACGGAAATATTACATTACCGGTAGGAAAACGCGACGCGACGGTGTCCCGTCGTGACCATACTTAATTAATTAAACCGTATCGTATGTAGAATTTCGCATATTTCAAGATTAGGTTACAACAGGGTCCGCTACCCGAGCCTCCTAACCCGACGGTTTACCTTAAAAACGCATCAGGAATTATTCGCATACATTATCGTTCCGAGAAGTATGCAGATTCTGTCGCAGACGTCGCTTTTTTTCTTTAAGTATCTCGCTACCTTGCTTCGGAGCTACGCGCGATAACGATATACGTATTCCGCACGGGGCAGCTCCCCCCGATGTCGCATACTTAAGCTTTTTACAAGGGAATAAGAAGATTACGCGACCACAAAGGAAAGTAACGCTCGCGTACATTCGCGTAAACTATCTCCGAAGTCGATCGTTTTACGATTCTACGCGTAACGTTTTAATTTATAATCGCGATGCGAAGTCTAGGACAAAAAAGGGATCTTTTATCCCTCGTCCGATATAAAATGTTGCCCGACTCCGATAACTATAAGGGCCACGAGAGGCAAGGGGTTGAAAAAGAAAAACATCGAGAGGAAGGTGTTTTCGACCGGTTCCGTGGCGAAGATTGCCATTATTAGGAGAGAGAGAGAGAGAGAGAGAGAGAGAGAGAGAGAGAGAGAGAGAGAGAGAGAGAGAGAGAGTTCCTTTGCTAGACGGGCGAGATAAATGGCGCGGCGAGGGGAAGCCCCTAAATTCGATACGGGTCGGGGGAATTCTATAACTATAACGCGCGTTGGTTCGTGGCACGCGTTCGAACCTGCGGACACGCCGTACACTCTCTGCTCCTCCACTCTGTTCGAAGTTCAGCAAATAGATCGCGCGAATCCTAATCGAATTCATAGACTGGATATCGGACACTGGATACGCGTTCGCGTCCGAGAATTCTTGGGGGTAATTCGATCGAGTAGACGTCTCTGTCGGTATTAAGCTCGACGACAAAGCGTTAACGCGAAGCAGGGAGGGTGATCGACGATAAGCTTCGACGGCCGCGCTTTTTACGCAACATGTGCAGAAGCGCGCACGCCTTGCTGCGCGGAAATTAATCGAACCACGTTTCCGAATTGTAAAATATAACACAAAATCTCTGGAGTTATCTTTATCGTTGTATCGGCTAACCGAGAATATTTGCGCCGTTTCTTTTTCCCGTGCCTCTTCGAGAAACGTCGCGTTTACGATTTTACTCTGAAATTAGATATTGTCTCGAATTATACAAGATCGCGTACCATCGTCTTGAATATCGTTTCGAATATAGTTGTTGTACAGGGTTGTTTGTACAAACACGATGTTCGAAAGGGATATTCATCGATCGTCCATCGTTGTAATTAGAGCGTTGCAACGTGTTTCGCATCCCGTTGCAAATTTCTGGTATTCAAAAAATTCCACTTATTAAAAGTTTCTTTCAGGGTGCTACGATATATATATTCTCGTTTTGCCGATATAAAGGAAAAAATATGTACCTAATTATGATTCTAAACGATAAACGATTGCGCGAAACTCAATTGTCCTCGGAAGGAAACAATTTTATTCGTCGAGTAACGATAGAACGATCGTACCTACTTTGCAAGATAGTTGAAATTTGGCAGCGTATAATTCGACTCGGCCAGCGATGCCTGCTTACACCTGTAAGTTGCATCTGTATCGTCATTCTCGGCGATCGGTCGTCGGTGGTCGGTCGTCGGAACGTTAAATTACCTACACAGAAACGTGACAAATTTGGTCGATGCGGGCACGGCATTGATATTCACGGTCGACTCGCGATGTTTTAGGCTTCGACTTCATGGCTAAACCCCTATTTGATTCACGGACGATCGAGACAATTATCTCATAACCTTACGCGTCTCGGTAAATTATATCGCAACCTCGAACATTTCGAATATTCAGAGATCGGAATTCCGGTACGATAGCTTTCATTTTTTTTCGCGCTTTCTCATTTTCTTGCTACAGAAATTTCAAAATTAAACGACATTTAACACATGTTTCTATCAAAGTGGTAATAGACGTCTTTTAAAATTGTAATTTAACACCATTTTCAACGAAGATAACGGAGGACACCCAACGAAGTTTAAATCGAAAATTATTTCCCAAGTTTAATTACTTTTCCTCGATTGATCGAAACTTCTTTCGTGCGTCGATCGGGATTTGCTAATATCATGCGAATAAGTGCAAATAGGTCAACGACGACGTACAAAAGATTTTGTTAAAACTACGCGCGTTAATCGCGCTGCGAACCAGCGATAGTTATTAAATTTTGTGTCGGCTAAAACGAGCGCAGCGTGAAAAAAAAATGAGCTTGCATTGCTTAGAATTCGTACGTACAATTCCTTGTGAGTCCGAAATAGCGTCGACATTTAAAAAATTCGGAAATTCGCTAAATAAGCACGAACGCGNAGAGAGAGAGAGAGAGAGAGAGAGAGAGAGAGAGAGAGAGAGAGAGAGAGAGTTCCTTTGCTAGACGGGCGAGATAAATGGCGCGGCGAGGGGAAGCCCCTAAATTCGATACGGGTCGGGGGAATTCTATAACTATAACGCGCGTTGGTTCGTGGCACGCGTTCGAACCTGCGGACACGCCGTACACTCTCTGCTCCTCCACTCTGTTCGAAGTTCAGCAAATAGATCGCGCGAATCCTAATCGAATTCATAGACTGGATATCGGACACTGGATACGCGTTCGCGTCCGAGAATTCTTGGGGGTAATTCGATCGAGTAGACGTCTCTGTCGGTATTAAGCTCGACGACAAAGCGTTAACGCGAAGCAGGGAGGGTGATCGACGATAAGCTTCGACGGCCGCGCTTTTTACGCAACATGTGCAGAAGCGCGCACGCCTTGCTGCGCGGAAATTAATCGAACCACGTTTCCGAATTGTAAAATATAACACAAAATCTCTGGAGTTATCTTTATCGTTGTATCGGCTAACCGAGAATATTTGCGCCGTTTCTTTTTCCCGTGCCTCTTCGAGAAACGTCGCGTTTACGATTTTACTCTGAAATTAGATATTGTCTCGAATTATACAAGATCGCGTACCATCGTCTTGAATATCGTTTCGAATATAGTTGTTGTACAGGGTTGTTTGTACAAACACGATGTTCGAAAGGGATATTCATCGATCGTCCATCGTTGTAATTAGAGCGTTGCAACGTGTTTCGCATCCCGTTGCAAATTTCTGGTATTCAAAAAATTCCACTTATTAAAAGTTTCTTTCAGGGTGCTACGATATATATATTCTCGTTTTGCCGATATAAAGGAAAAAATATGTACCTAATTATGATTCTAAACGATAAACGATTGCGCGAAACTCAATTGTCCTCGGAAGGAAACAATTTTATTCGTCGAGTAACGATAGAACGATCGTACCTACTTTGCAAGATAGTTGAAATTTGGCAGCGTATAATTCGACTCGGCCAGCGATGCCTGCTTACACCTGTAAGTTGCATCTGTATCGTCATTCTCGGCGATCGGTCGTCGGTGGTCGGTCGTCGGAACGTTAAATTACCTACACAGAAACGTGACAAATTTGGTCGATGCGGGCACGGCATTGATATTCACGGTCGACTCGCGATGTTTTAGGCTTCGACTTCATGGCTAAACCCCTATTTGATTCACGGACGATCGAGACAATTATCTCATAACCTTACGCGTCTCGGTAAATTATATCGCAACCTCGAACATTTCGAATATTCAGAGATCGGAATTCCGGTACGATAGCTTTCATTTTTTTTCGCGCTTTCTCATTTTCTTGCTACAGAAATTTCAAAATTAAACGACATTTAACACATGTTTCTATCAAAGTGGTAATAGACGTCTTTTAAAATTGTAATTTAACACCATTTTCAACGAAGATAACGGAGGACACCCAACGAAGTTTAAATCGAAAATTATTTCCCAAGTTTAATTACTTTTCCTCGATTGATCGAAACTTCTTTCGTGCGTCGATCGGGATTTGCTAATATCATGCGAATAAGTGCAAATAGGTCAACGACGACGTACAAAAGATTTTGTTAAAACTACGCGCGTTAATCGCGCTGCGAACCAGCGATAGTTATTAAATTTTGTGTCGGCTAAAACGAGCGCAGCGTGAAAAAAAAATGAGCTTGCATTGCTTAGAATTCGTACGTACAATTCCTTGTGAGTCCGAAATAGCGTCGACATTTAAAAAATTCGGAAATTCGCTAAATAAGCACGAACGCGAAAGGAAGAACACGTGGTTCCTGGTTGCAGGTACCCATTCGACGCGTGCGCTTCCGAAAGGGGTTCCCTCGAGAGCGTAAAGCGTAAAGCGTAGAGCGTAGGGCGTAGGGCGTAGAGCGTAGAGCGGAGAGACAGGGGCCAGGTAAATCACCGATCTGGCCTCGCTCCGGGCTGGGAATAATGCGACACGCTCGGTTAATGGCGTAACGCGTGAAAAGGTGCGCACGCGCGCAGATTGGGGGGTTAAATCTTGGAAATTGGTCGGATGGTGGGGCGACTGGCGCGAATCCTGGAACAGGACGATGTTCGACCGCGTTTCTATAGGACGCGGCCGAGTTGGTCGACGAGGTGGGGCAAAGCGCGGTGGGGAATACAAAGGAGAAACGCGTCGGGAAGCGCAAACGTGGAACCGTGGCGTGGAACCTTGGAACCGTGGAACCGTGGAACCGTGGAATCGCGGAGCCGCGGAAGTGGGGTGCGTGCCTAACTTGTGCACCTCGAGAGAGTGGGATATTTACCGGTTGGGTCGGCCAGGGTGGGAGATAATAGGCTAGGTCACGGTGGGGGATATATGCATCTCGGAGCGCGGCAGAGTTTCGAGTAGTCAGCGAGCAGACGGGCGACTGCGCGCTTGCGTGATCCTCGGAGGGTAGTCCTTTTTCCTTCTCTTCCTCGTTCCCCTCTTCTTCCTTCCTTCTTCTTCTTCTTCTTCTTCTTCTTCTTCTTTTTCTTCTTCTTCCACGACTCGTTCCTTTTCCTTCTCGTCGCTTTCCATCGTACATCGATTCCGTCTCCTTCCTCCTCTTCCGCCTTTACCCTGCCGACAGAACATCTTTTTATTCTCCGAGGATCCGCGACTTTCTTTCCGCCCCACTTTCCCGATTCGACGCGTCGAATTGAAATCACCAAGAACGATCGTCGAGACGAGACCACCGCTTGGACGCTGCTCGCGGAATCGATCGACCACCGATTCCGCCTAATTCGAAGACGACCGCCGCCGCGCGAGGGTGCCCCGTGAAATCGGCGGAACTGAACGCTCTCGAAGAAACTCGAACGAGTCGAACAACCGTGGTACACAAGATGCCGTTCGGAAGACGTCTCCGAAGGAAGCTGGTACCGAATCCGAGGACCGCTGACGTGAGTACAGTAAAAGATCAAAGCCGATGAATCCACGGGTGTAACAAATCTTCGAGCAAGCTCTACCAAGATCACGGAGAGACGCGGCCGGCCGTGCTCGACGATCGTTCGCGACGTCGTCCTCGTCGTCGTCGTCGTCGTCGTCGTCGTTGGATCGGGACAAGTTCTATCGCGTTCTGTCGGCACACTGAAACTCTGTATAGAAATAGCTGTACATACGATAAACGTATATGTAAGTTGTACAAACGGAGATCTAGAAATTGAAGCGAAGAAAGAGAGGGAGAGAAATAGTAGAGAGTACCGATGCTAAAAGTACAATGCTGCGACACAGGCTCGGTAAACGATCATTTCCATCGAAGACGAACCAAATTAGCAGTAACCACGGCCACAGATCCTGTTCGAGAATTCGCCTGCGCGCGTGCCAACGATCCATCTCCACGGAAAGAATCGATCGAGCGAGCTAAACTACAGCCAACGGATTCTGTCGACGATGCATCGGTAATCGGTCCGCGGTGGTAATTCGACGGCTCGACAATCTCCCCCGCTTCTCGTCGATGGACCCTAGATCTTGCTTCTGAAACTGTAGAAATAGGTATGCTAATTTATTTATATTTACGGTTCGCTCGACGGCTACTTTGTACATCGAGCTCTCGAATAATTTCAAACGGTCGTTGAGAGAAATTATTATAGATTTACGCTAGATCAAACATTTTTAGTTTAGTTTTAATTAGCGTGGTAAAGTCGGGATATTTATAATCACGATCTACGATGAAGGTTGTACTTTCGATAAAGACCCGTCGCCGATCGAAACGTCGTTTGGAGGGTGCATAGGGAAGAGAGAGAAGATCTCAAATATAAAATATTGCTGCGTTGGTAGCATTTAGTAGTTCCAAAGATATTCGTAGAAAGCAAAAAACAAAAAACAAAACTTTCAATGCTGTACACATATTGATCGCTACGGATCTTGAACGATGTTCAAGATATCCACAAATCTAAGATTATGCTCTGCTGACCTAAACCGCCGCGCTACGATTCGTTGTAGCAATGACATAGGTTTCTCGTTGATATCTTGAAAACTACTAAATACCCGAAGATAAACGTTTCATTTTCTCATCTCCTCTCCATTCTTCTCCCCTCTAAACCCGATCTCGATCGACGACAGGTCCCTTTCGGAAGTTTACCAATTATTAAGTAATGCGGCTAATTTAAAAACTATCTTAGTTTCTATCTTAAGAATTCGATGATCTAGTCTCGCAGAGTTCGTAAATAAAATATTCGAGAAAATCTATCTAGTCGATATCAACGGATGCTAGTCGATCCATCGAACCAATCGAAATCAAAGACGAACGAAATCCAATCTAGTCACGAAATATTTATGTAAACTAATTTTACGATTCCGCTCTAGTCGTTTGCAGTAATCAATAATAGAGTCGTTCGTGCGGGAACTAAGAATACTTCTTTTCGGAGAAGATGCTGTTTACGCTCTATCGTCCGTATTCGAAGAAAATTTATAAACGTTAATTTAGTGAAACAAAATGTAAAAAATTCGAATATTACAAATATCGAATGATTGAAACGTTTCCTACGATTGGATCTTGCCAATCGTAGGAAACTTACAAATCTCGTTTGAACTTGACAAAATTATACAAACCGATGCGTTTTTCAACTTCTTCCGAAAAGGATATTAATCCAAAAATTACGTATCTTTCGTCTCCATGGAAAAAGAAAATATCCTTTAACTACACTCATATTCTAGATTTCTAGTCGATTCTGTTTCTAGTCGTTGCTTTCGTCCAACTATGTACATATTACACCGAATATCGACTAATATTGGGAATCGGATATGCAGGCCACAACTAAATGCAATTCGTCGTTTATATTATAAAGTAACTTGTACAATCGCGTGTTATTAATTTGCCCACTTACGTACAATATTGTAATAAGTATTGTCCGTGGATACGATGCCATACATACGTACGCAAAGAACGATGCGTGTCTCATTTTCTACTACATTCGATGGAATAATAGCATCGGTGGACAAACTCGTGTTTCTCGTTGATACGGTAGTAAACGTATCGACTAAAAACTCGACGATATCATATATAAACGATAGACGTGATCGAGTCTATTTATTTGGGAAACGTGCCAGTATTTTACTCGATTATCGTACAGCAAGCGATAAAAGTAAACATTCGAAAGACCTAAGTTTATTCTTTCGGAACTTTTTATCTTGATAATACATATTACGTAACGTACACTAGTCTTTTTAACTATTTTATTCCGCAAACGAAATGCCCGTGTTGGCAGCTGTTCGATCTACTTGTATAGAAATAAGTTAAAACTTCTAATACCATAATATGTAGAGCGCGTTAAATGTCGTACCGATCGTCGATAACCATAGCTGAAATTTCAGATTTTTCTATCGAAGCGCGTTCGTTCGGTACAACCGATGGACGGTCCCAAATATACCAAATTGCAATTTATTGCACGAAAGGCGTGAACAATTAGAAATTTGATCCGTTAGACATTTAACGTGTGAAAAATCTATCGAGCTATTAGTTTATAAAAGGACAAAATTATGTTCTAAAATAAAGATCCAAACCGCCATCAAAAAAGTACAAACTAGAAATGTAGCGTCCAATGAAAATAATACGAATGAACTAAGAGTATTGTAAGGCTGTGTTTAATAATTAAGAATAATTTTAAGTTAAGCTTATTCTCCTGCTAATTCTCCTTATCGTATGTCGGTAAATGTAAACGTCTGGTCGAAAAGCGTACCGACCAAGCTCGATAAACAAACCAAAATTTCAATTTCATCGATTTAACCTTAATTTCTTATAAATAAGATTCTTGCGCGAATCTTCGATTCGATCGATTCCAGTCGAAAGAATATCTAGATAAATAAGAAATATGCGTGAATAATTGATCTCTGGGAGAACATATTATTAAGAGTGGAATCTAGTCAACGAATCCATGGACAACAAACTCGAACGGTCCAATCCAAGTAGAACATTTTTTACCGGATATAATGTTTTTCGCATAAGTAAATTATGCAACCGTGACGATATTTGTCAACCATGAATCGTTACCGCATTCGTTTCTGCCTAATTAACTTATAAGACGAAGTTGGACAACTTAGTAGAGTACCCGATCTCAGTCCATGGTCAACGAATCTAGTCTATGATATACTATAAACTAATTTCTATAAATGTACAACGAATGGAGCGATTGATACAATAATCGTGTGAAAGTGATTGGATATGATTGTGGAACGTAGATTTAATAAATAGCTTTAACAGTTCATTCGTATTAAAACATTGATCGACGATCTAAGTAACTTGTACATATCCTTTCTTTTTTTTAAATCAGTATAACTAAGAAGTAATTAGCAACATTTTATAAAATAATTTACGTTTGAAATAACTTATCTTGATTTCGTAATCATTTCCTCTATTAAGATAAACATGTGTGCAGGCTGGTAAACTTTTGTATATCATTTATATTATGTATCGTGTGATCGAGTGTATGCGCGCGCGCGCGCGCGCGCACGCGCGTTTTGTGTGTATTTTATGTATTTATTCACTTATTAATTATATATTTATTTATTCGTTCTTAATATAAATTATAACAAATAATCTATATTGTATGCAGTTTTGCATGTTCTACGAGTGTACTCTTTTTGTCTTTGTGCTTGGAAGTTTTAATGAAAATTTTGTATTTTTGTTTTACGAACTATAATCACACTAATTGAACTGTCTAAGATCTTTTTAAATTCGACTTAACTTCTATTTTTATGGTACTAGATCCGATTTTCAAGAGTAGATAGATAACAAGACTACATTTATTCACTAATTTCCCACAAAGCATCTTTAGAATCTTAATAATTATAAAATAAATACCTCGAAATTTCAATATCAATTATGTTACAGTTTGGGAAATATGACAATTTTTTTCAAATATACAAGATCATTGACACTAAAATTACAATGAATTGAAATACACTTAGCATTTATTTCTTTTTTTACCTTCCTGCAAGTAAGTTCATCTAATCTACAAATTTTGAATTTTAATATAACGTTAGATTTCGGTTATCTATATCATGTTAACTCAGGAATAGATCTATTCCATATTCCTAAGTTCTCTCTCTCTCTCTCTCTCTCTCTCGTGATCTATATATGTAGTGTATATAGTATAGTATATGTATACATACATGGCGTGCATAATTGTCATGTCTCGCGACGTATGGATTTTGTCATACTGGTTTCGTATTTCTGCTGTTATAATCTGTGACGTGTTGATTTAGTCCATAAATTTCGTATCTTTCCTGTTACAAACCGCGACGCGTTGATTTAGCCATATAAATTCCATATCTCTTGTTACATTCTGCGACGCGCCGATCTATCCCATAAGCAGGAGGGCTCGACTCTTAGTAAATTTTTGGGACACCGTTTTCACTGCCATCTGAATTACATAGCTGCAAACTTAGACAAACAACTAAAATTCAATATGGCGGTTTAAAAGCGTTAATTCAAATTCTGGATTTTAAAGCCAGAATGTATTAAGCATGTATCAACTACATTTTATGTACACGGTGTGCATAGCCTAATTTTGAAAAAATCTACTTAATATACTGTAACACAGTGGAAGGGAAAATGATCAAAGTTATTATTGGAAATTATGAAACGGGCGTTGAATGATGTAAATCGTGTTTTGTTTCCATCTGGTTTCGGAGAAAAATAAAATAAAAATGGGATACAAACACGAACAAAATTTTACGAAATGAGTAAGAAGAATACCTTCAAAATTTATAAATAAAAATATCGGGCGCACATTACAATGAACACAGCCGCAGCTAAAACTGCGCACTAAACAAACACGTCCGTTTCATAGTTTCCAATCTAATAGAAACTAATATGGGAAAAAGATTGTTTGTTTTCTATTTTATAATGGTATACAACAAAAAAATCATTTTTAATTAAGTATATACGTACACGTGTTTATTTATCTTTGCTACTCCAGACTCCGATGTCCTTGCTGCTCAGCTTCTCACAAGCTGAGATTCGTTTCTCTACCGCCGATGGCGCTGAGATAGAAAATCTTCAAATCTAGTATGTACTAGTTGTGTACTTACTGTAAATACTTGTATACTTTACCGTATGTACACATAGTATGCAACTGCAATACGAAGCTCTAATGATTTTATCATATGTATATAACATTTTGAAATTTAAGAAATGGGAATTTTTTTTCTTCATTGCAGTTATACTTGGTATAAAATGGTCGAAAATTATTACGTTTCGACCAGATGTGAACCATTTAACAGAATTACATAAATGTCCGGCATGTTTCGGTACTTCTGCTTGTGGTTATACCGATCAAGTGGATATTACACCGTATAATTTNTAAAAATGGGATACAAACACGAACAAAATTTTACGAAATGAGTAAGAAGAATACCTTCAAAATTTATAAATAAAAATATCGGGCGCACATTACAATGAACACAGCCGCAGCTAAAACTGCGCACTAAACAAACACGTCCGTTTCATAGTTTCCAATCTAATAGAAACTAATATGGGAAAAAGATTGTTTGTTTTCTATTTTATAATGGTATACAACAAAAAAATCATTTTTAATTAAGTATATACGTACACGTGTTTATTTATCTTTGCTACTCCAGACTCCGATGTCCTTGCTGCTCAGCTTCTCACAAGCTGAGATTCGTTTCTCTACCGCCGATGGCGCTGAGATAGAAAATCTTCAAATCTAGTATGTACTAGTTGTGTACTTACTGTAAATACTTGTATACTTTACCGTATGTACACATAGTATGCAACTGCAATACGAAGCTCTAATGATTTTATCATATGTATATAACATTTTGAAATTTAAGAAATGGGAATTTTTTTTCTTCATTGCAGTTATACTTGGTATAAAATGGTCGAAAATTATTACGTTTCGACCAGATGTGAACCATTTAACAGAATTACATAAATGTCCGGCATGTTTCGGTACTTCTGCTTGTGGTTATACCGATCAAGTGGATATTACACCGTATAATTTATATTCTATATTTTCTTATTTCTTTGGAGCAAAAAATGTTTTTTTCGGTCGTCTAAATGAGAATGATATTGTATTAAAAAAGTTGGCACATTCGTTTGAATTAAGTAAATTTGACCAAATGCTTTGTGAAAATAAAAGTTTCTCCCATATTTGTACGAGCAATTTAAAGAAGTCGATAAACGAAGTTAACAATGTAGATTTTTATGAACTCATTAAGCAAGAAGTTGACTTAGATTTTACGAAAGATAACTTGAGTCGTTTAAGGGTTTGTCCCAATGGGCAACATTTGAGTAATCTTTTGCAACAAGTATATCTTAATAATGAATATGTTAATAAACAAACTCTTAATGTTAATATTTGGACATTAATCGTTCTTAATCCCGAACCTCTGCTTCTTCAGGTATTATGTTAATTTAAGATGCTTCAATGAAATGTCGTTTGCATTACAATATTTTATAAAGTTTTAAAACATGTTTTGATACACATCCAGTTTTTGTTTATAGATATTATCCGCAGATGAAAATTGGCCAGTACCAAGGTATTTAGGTGCATGTGGGCGTATTATACTGCAAGAATATGTTGGTTTACCATTAATGAATTATTATTATAAACCATGGTTGCTAAGAGCTCGAATAGTTTCTAGTCTTCTAAATGGTGCTTACGTATTTACATTTCAAAGCGATGACTTTGGCTTTTATTTAACCGATATATCGGCTGATAACATAGCAGTCGATTCAAATAATAATGCAAAATTCATCGATTTAGAAAATGTAATAGTTGTAGATAAAAATTTTATACCCGAAGGTGTGATAGCTTCTTTCGCTTAAAATTAATCTATTATTGTAGTAATTGAAAAATGGTTGTAACGAACCTGTTCTTCTCCCCTCTTTAGAGAAATTAGAAACATGGAATCAGTTACAAGAAAATAATGAAAATTTTTCATGTTCAAAATGTTTAATATATTCACCTGCCGATATATGTAGTCACAGAATTAGCGATCATAATTATTATGCAATATGCAAGGTTTGTTGCTGTCATAAAAATACTTGTTAAGAAAGTTCACAGTAATACTTTAATCGAAAAGCTCGTGAAGGAATTATAATGTTCAATCTAATATGTTTTTACAGATGTTTTTAGAGCCTGATACAAATGATAATTTGTTACCTAGTGGTTTTTTGTATAACATACCTGAAAATATTCAGAAAGCCTATCCAAACATACAAGATTTAATAAAACAATGCGTTAATCCTGAGAAGCCGTTTACCAGAATAATTGCTGGAATACAACTTAAAGAATTATTAGATACTATAATCGAGGATAAAAACGCAGACACAGATTGATTGAATAAGAAAGTTTATAATTATTAACAGTGAAAAAAATGTACAAAACAATAATACAAAAATTGTATATAATGTAAAAATAGTTTGTTTCATGTTACATAAATTTATACAATGTTCAAATAGTCTTCATTTGACAGTCAATAGATTATGATTAATGTTAATTACCTATCAGAGATCAAAC